CTATAAAGTGTTGGTATAATGTATAATTTGTGCAATGCATTGCTGTGGTTTTGATCTTTTATCTTCACTATCATCCACACATATGTTGATCAGTCTCTAATGAATTAAATGAAAAGACTTACAGTTAGGACACAATTATGCATGTTACTGCTTTTTATTAGTTCTCTCCTGAACCTTTTAATAGATACTAAAATGTCATTGAACTACCCTGTATGATCATTTTGAGTTGAAATGTTTGTTTAATAATAATATTATGTATAAATAGTGTGCATTATAATGTTATTAATATTAAGTGTATAAATGGTTTAAAATATTTTTAATTGTTTGTAAATATGAATATTATTGAAGTAAAAATCATATTAAAAGATTATTTCACAGAATATTAGAGCATCATACTATATGGGATAAGTTGTCGCAATGTTAACCTGCTGTTAAACAACCTAAATGTTATATATTAAAATAAATATAGAAATAAACATACAATGCAACATCCAACTACATTAATAAATGTAAGTTCTGAACTTCACTCTTTTATATTTTGATGTTTTCATTTGATTAAAAAAATTAATTTAGAGTTCCCATATAAATATATAAAAATCAATTATATTTGATTTTGCGTTTTATCTGTTTATTTTGTTATCCAAGTTTACTTTTAGTTAATTAAACGTTTTCAGTTTCCTTATAATAATTTCCAAGGTATTGTTAAATTGTAAAACTATAATATTTGATTTTCATCAAACAGATTTATTGATTGATTAATAATATATAATAGACTATCAGAAACTGTAGTAAATCAATTGTATAGAATTACAACATACGAAACCAACATGAAAAAAATCACTCACAGTAAAAAACTAGATACTATGATGTAGCCCTTGTGGCATGTGACAACTAGCCCCGGTCTCCCCTGCATATGATTTAGTACAGTATTGTTGATTTTGACAGCAAATCTTATTGTTGGATTTCTGACAGTTTGCAGCCATTTTTACTGGCAATGCACATATTAACATCAGGTGCAACAACAATAAATGGTTTTAGCATGACATTAATGTGGCTGATCAGACAACCTGTAATTGATCACATTCAACCACTGCATCTCCTGTGAAGTGAGTGTTTAGGTGCATCTGTTTGCATGTAAACTCAGCATGCCAGTCATCTGTCTCAGCGAGCCGTGGCATCTGTCTGGCTTCAGATTTGCGTTGGGGCAGACATGGCGAGTGTGGTCACCAGGTCAAGGATTTGGCTAACTTGCACAAGCTGTGTGCAGATTAACCGGCTGGACATATGGTTCTGTGACGCACGGATCCCATGAGCTGCCACATGCATTGCAGACAGTATTCAATTATGTGGCAGAATAATAGTTATTATTAATAAAAGTGTAATTGATTGGTTTTGGGGAAGGGATATGAAAAAACTGCAGCATTTATGAATGACTTGTATTCAGGTCTATATTTATTGGGTTTCTGTTTCATTTCATATAAAGCATGCTTGAGTTTTACTGCTGTGATCTTTATGAAGGAAGCCAGCATGCAGCCGTGTTCATTGAAAACGTTTTTGCTGCACGTTTCCTGTTTGCTTTGTCGACTTTGCAGCATTTGAGCTGTTCGAGACACCTGTGTGTGTGTTTGAACTGTATGCACCCTACAGTCATTCAGTTAGTGGCACATGGCTACTACAGAGTGTGCATGATGTGTTTCTGTTGTATATGTAGGGTGTGGTTGATGCTGACACGAATTGATCAGTGTGTACTGGGTCTGGTTTGTTCAGTGTGAGCCTCGTGTTTGTGGTGATTTTGGATTCCAGTCTTTGACTTTATCTACTCATCTACTTCCCTCTTCCTTACTTCAGTTGAACTTTTGCTTAAAGGGGTCATATGATGCGATTTCAATTTTTCCTGTCTCTTTGGAGTGTTACAAGCTCTTGGTGCATAAAGAAGATCTGTAAAGTTGCAAAGACTAAAGTCTCAAATCTAAAGAGATAGATTTTATAGGTCGTCACATGTGGTTGCCACAAGCCCTTCGGACGCTCCTTCATCGAATCCGCCGGCCGCACCATTCTCAAGCCCGCCGCCGCTGCTCACTCTAGCCCTCCGGCCGTTCCTCACTCTAACCCCTGGCCTCTGCTCACTCTAGGCCGCCGCCGTGTGTGACACTGTGTTTCGTTGTAAAAGCGAAACTACTTTGTTTGGTCTTCCAAAAGAGGACTTTTTAGCAACATCATATGACCCCTTTAATTTGATTTGTTACTTATCTTTTGTTTGTTTATTTAGTTTTTTGTTTCTGTTGACTTGTTTGTTTGTTCATTTATGTTTTTGCTAGTCAGTTCATTCTCTCAATGGTTTTTCCATTCGTTCATTCTTTCATTTGTTCATTCTTTAGTTCATTCATCTGTTTATTATTTAATTTGCCTTCCTGTAGTCAAACAATAGCGTGGCGCTGTCGTCCACAAGGTGATGGGTTCAATTCCTAGAGAAAGCAAGCACTGATTAAAGGTGTATGTTGAATTTAGTTTAAAGGGGTCATATGATGCTGCTAAAAAGAACATTATTTTGTGTATTTGGTGTAATGAAATGTGTTTATGCGGTTTAAAGTAAAAAAAACACATTATTTTCCACATACTGTACATTATTGTTTCTCCTCTATGCCCCGCCTTTCTGAAACGCGTCGATTTTTACAAAGCTCATCAGTCTGAAAAGCGAGGTGTGCTCTGATTAGCCAGCTATCCAGTGCGTTGTGATTGGCCGAATACATCAAG